GCCACCCAGATCAGTCCCACACTGCGCTGTGTTTACGGTGATATTTTAAAAAAACCACAAAAATAAGTTGTTCTTGTATCACATTTTCTGGTCTTAAATTGGTCTGCAGGGTTAAGTAGCTGCTGATAACAGCTCAAATGGCAGCAATACTCAGTAAAGGTGGGGGCAAACTTCTCATTGACATATTATCAGAATAGAAATATTCGTGAGGGAAAACAGATGATGTTTCAGACACAGGAGCACCAGCTTTCGGCTGCAGACAATTCCTGAGCCGAGGGCTTGTTGGAATAAGAAACAACCTTAAACAAATACACCACTAGCAAAACAGCTAAAAAAACAAGTCAAAATACTTGTTGTGGTGCACATTTAATCAGAAATACATAGAAAAAGCTTTTTATGGGCCATTTAAAAATGGATTGCAGAATTGCAGAATTTCAGTACCCATTCACTTTGACGTGTAGTAAAGTCATTACATGTTTAACACGTTTGTTATGTTTTTAGGTTTTAATGCTCTTTTACAATAAATCTGGCCTGTTTATAATCAATTCATATTTATTCATTTTAATATGTATTAAATTGTTGTGGTTCATCCATCTATCGATCTATTTTAATATAACTGCTTGTCCTCTGCAAGGTTGTGGGGAAATTAATTTTTAAATGTGTTTATTTTATATACATTTATATGAAATCAAAAAAGTTTGTCTGGATTATTTTTTTAAGAAATGAAAAGCAAATCTGTTTTTATTCTATATTTGTTATATAATTTTGAGTAAAATTTAAATATCTGGTGAAAACGCATGATTTATTGCCTAAATAAAATTTTGTAGTTTAAAAATATCTGGCACTATATATGTTGATGCGGTTTTCCATAGGCTGTTTTTAAGAGGGTTTGACATGAACCAGGGAAAACAGAGCGTGGCGGGGGAAGGGGGCTCTGTAGGGACACACCGTGCACCCCCCGTGCACCCCCCAAAAGCCTCTAGGAAGTTGTCTGGGTCCTACTGCGGCCTCTCGGAGGAAATGGCTTTAGCAAAGGTGGAAAAGCAGAGCTGGCCGTCCCACGTCATTCCGTCCCGCACGGCATCCAGAATCCAGTTGTGCATTTTTTTATTCTAAATTCACAAACCCCTTTCATAACTATTCGCGACGGGTTTAATTCTCCCCTGCGATTGGACACCCAGCCAGCCGTAATGATTGTAAACGAGGCACCGACTTGTATTAGCTCTGAAGCCGGCTGCAGGTGAATAGCTTCTGTTTGCAGATGTTTGGCTGATGGACCTCATTCTGCATGCATATGTGTTTGGGGGGCAGAATTTCCTCACAAGGGTAGCAAATCTCTAAAAAAAAAATTCGACCCGTACGGGACGTCCCTGTGAGGTAGGTGTGGCTGCGGGTGTGATAGCTTATCAATTTTCCTGCATTTATGATGGTCGGCTCATTTTTTCATTGCGGGGTTGTTTTAAGGTGGCCGAGTCATGCAGACTCCCAGCAACCTGCCTCCGTCAGTCAGGCCTTTGAGGTGGGGGGGAAGGGGGGTGCTGACCCAGAGCCTTCTGGGGTTAACAACTAATTACGTGTCCTGTTTGTTTATTTCGTATTAAATTTAACTGCAGGCATGTTAAATGTAAAGCAATATATAAAAGGTAAAACATATACACTATAAAAGTATTCACATACAATATTAAAGTGTATTTACACAGGAATACTGTATATATACTTTTGATATATATTTTCTATAAATATATATAAATATAATATTCTTGTTTAGCAAATTTACAATAGGCCTACATTTTTCTCATATTTAAAATTTATTATCTTTTATTAAGTCCTATATGATAACTGTGGCCTGCGTATTATGGTGTGCAATACCTGAGCATATTAAATATTCATTAGAGATTAATGGTCATTTTTCACTTTTTAACGTTATGCCTAGTTTTGCAGCTCTGCAGTTCGTCTTCAAATACACGGTTGCCTTAATGTCCTGTTTAGCTCGGCAACATTTTATTTCAGCGACTAAGTTTTGTAACTTTCGTGTACAATAATAAAAGTTTAATGGTTCTATTGTTCGTCGTCAAAAGGGACCCATTACTCAGCAGGCGTAATGAGAGTTCAGTCTGACGCCCCCCTCGGCCCTTCAAACGGTGGGTCCTTACGGGAATTAAACAGCAGCGTAAGCCTGAATTAAGGTGTCATGCTGGCTAGAAACTGGAAGCTACCGACTAGGCGATCTCGGATTGCTGCTGCCAGTGATTTACTGCACGGCAGTGATAACGTTAAGCAGAACCATTAGAAACTAGTACCATTCTATTTATAACATAATGAATGGACTTCAACAGCGTTTAAATGTACCCACGGTATAATGAGCTATTTAAAACACGCTGTACTTTTTTTCGACGTATAGAGTTCAAATATTATTTTAAGGCGACCAGAGAGTAGGCGTTGCGCCTCCTTATACTGCGCACCTGAGACTTCGCGCCTCGAGAGATCATCGGCTGAAGGGCGACATTAGCGGGTCATAAAAGACTCTTTGTTATCCACTGACATCTGCAGCTCTTATTCTGTTAAATAAAAGCTGTTCAATATTTCTGGAGAAAGATGAGGGACGAAACTATTTTTGGCTTAAGTTGCAGGGGTCTGCGGCTGCCGCTTTCAGTATATAAATTCACCGTTAGCCTATATTAAATTAAAATAGTGCATCAATTACATCAGAAGCGTTTCAACTCAAAATAAATTCTCTTACCATAAATAGAAAGCTAAAGACATGTAGGCTTAGATTTATTTTCTGTTTCTCTAAAATGATGGTGATGATGATTACATTTGTTCAGATAGTGTGTGTATGTTGTTGTTGTTGCTGTTTATTATTATTATTATTATTATCTACATTTGGGGATTTAATAATGATGGAATAAATTCGTTGTTTTTAAGATGATAAATCGTTTATAATCAAGTTTGAAAATGTGGGATAAATACACGTGTTGCGTTTCAGTTCACTGGATTTGTTTTTGCAAAATACGCATAAATCATTCTGATACAATTTATACGTTTGTTAACTCGGCCTGGTTAAATTGTTAAATTGTATTTTTGTCCAGTTTTAGTTTCGCGTATCTGGAAAAATAGTCCTTTTAAGCAGGATGATATACGTTTGAATTTCTGTCGTTGAACATAATCTCAGATTTATGAGCATAAAAATAAAAAATATGAATTCTCGCCGTAGGAGTAGCGATTCAGTGCTGCATGTAAGGCACTACGATGTCTGCCCATAAACAGCAATCGGGTCCAATGCCAATAGTAAGTTGATGCTTTAGCTGTGAAAAGACCCAAGCAAAAATGGTTAAATGTTTCAAAGTGATGTTTTTGAACTGAAGTACCTGTACTGTAATGTGAAATACATAAACGGAACAACTTTCTCATTCCGGTGGGTGATGAACACTACAGCCCGTTGTTCTGAATTTAAGAATTCATTAAATATTCATTAAATATAATTTGCAAAAATTTGCATGACTATTACCTATGTTTTTTCTACATTCATACCCAAATTGGATGTTGAGGGTTTTATTGAGTGGATAGTGTGTCTGCCAGCGAGATAATAAGTTGGAATCTATGATTGGGTCACTGCGTGGGTGGGATCATCGTGTTTGACTGCATGTTTACTGGCTGCTCCAGTTTCCTGCCAGAGGTACGTTGCTCCGTGTTACCTCTTGACTGGGCAGTGACAAAGCATGATGATCAAATTCTTGGACCTTGGGTTTCTGAAATAGTCTCAGGCTTATTGTATTTTTTTGCGAGTTCTTTTTATGTTACCATGTTAAATACAGGTATTATTGAAAAAACATTATGTTCGTTTATGGTTAAAAAGAATATTTGGAATACACACATGATATTATGTCGTGTGACTGGGCGCCTAGACCAAAAACTTTCTGTCGGACAAGACCCCTGACCACTTGCTAAGATGTGGTTATCGATCTGAAGAGCAGCCAGCGTTTCTGAGTTAAGGGTATTTCAAAAAAAGTTCGTGAAGCATTCATAGCAAAGTAAGTGAGCTTTTACACAGGAGGCAGAGAAAAAAAAATCAGAATACAAGCACAACACGCTCTGGACATTTTGCAAACTTAACAGGACAAATTTAAACCAGTGTCAGTTTCATCAAAGCTTCTAGGATGGCACATTCATTTTTGTGACTTAGACGACTTACTATAAAAAACATTTTGAAGAATTTAGGAGGAAAAAAACAAACGTCATTTTTTTTATGAAAGGTTTTCAGTTGGGAGCATACCAGAGTTCTTGCATCAACAACACCTCAGAACGTTTCATCTTTATTCCAGCGCTGTTCAAAACTCTGCAGTTACCACAGCAACATCGTTTTGGCTTCGTAAAACAATGATCAGTTGTTTCAGTGCTATCTGGGCAGCAGTCAAGTTGGGTAATGTTAAATTCTGCTTAAAAATAAAAAGTGGGGGGGGGGGGGTTTCCAAATGAGCATCCTGCTGACTAATGCCTAAGAGCAACGCAAGCACTACGCAAGACTTTGAAGTATTTGTAAAGCAAGTAAATACCAACATATGTATGTACTTATTTTATATAATTACTTG